TCTCTCCAGCCATCCCCTCTATCTAGAGAGGCTGAAAGCAGTTTGAAAGAGGGTTCACCGCTTAAAGGAAGTACCTTTATCTCCTTTTCATTTCTGAGCAAACAGGTCCAGCAAGTTTCTGCCTTCCTCCCACAAATCCTGCAAAACCTGTTTGATCGGAAGGGCAAAAGAGAAGAAATGCGTGTTCGGTCGCTCCACCGGAAATGAAATCTTTCTAAAGCCACCTCCAACTATTTAAAAAAGAAAAGAAGCAGATTATCCATCTTTTCCGGAACGAATTGGTAGAGGTTTTGGAGTTTTTCGAGATGGCGTTACCCCCCAACTTTGATGCCTGGTTCCAGAGGTATAACCAGGACTCAGGGTACGATCTGACGGTTGTAAAATTGTGGGCCTGATCGCACTGGGAAAAGTCACACCCCACCATGGAAAAAACAGATTGGGTTTTAAAAATTACATTTTTGATGTAAATTGTGATTTAAATCAATCAGATTTTGTTTTTAAAAAATCACTTATTTTTATCCACCCTGCCTGGTGGATAAAAGCAGAGGGTCCCTTTTGTTGTTAAGGAAGAAAAAGCCATTATATTTGCAAAGATCCAGCCGTCCTCGTGTTTTAACATCTCCTTCCTCTCAACTCCGTACATACTCTTTTGTATCAGTCCGAGCAAACACGCCGCCTGAACCGATGCAAATAGATCCGCTGTCAAAACAAGGGTAACATAAAGTTATGCCGGCATAAATATGCCAGGCCAATTGCTCATGGCAAAAAGGAATTGCTCTCTGCAGTGGTGCCATTAATGGCACGTCCCGGGCGTGACGGATTGTGCAATACGGCCCAAGCGCTTTGAGGACAGCACTTGCGCCTCGGCGCTCACACAACGACCGCAGGCTCAACCCCGATTTACACAGGAGCGGCTGCGCCCGAGGTTTTTAGTCCGTAATTCCACGTCTATCGGATATGGTTGCTAATTCTCCCTGGACAATAATTCCAATGGTCAAGCGCTTCTCTAAAGATGTTGCTCCGAAAATGACACCTTGAAAAACAACGGAGGGAATATACATCCGTGCTTTTGGTTCATATCTCTGCATTCTTAAGAGCGGATCTCCAGATTTCATTCAAACTTTTTTGTTGATGGCCTAGGCTGACAGTTTATATGACTTATCTCTTGCACAAAGATCTTCCTTTCACAAAAAAAGGACCTCTTTCCGTTTGTTCTGTTGGCCTTTGCTAAACGTCTCCTCTTGGACTATAGATAATAATTCAATAATTAGTAGCAATGATATAAAAGCCGGAGTTCTGGTGGAAATCAATGGCCGTGCAACAGGAATTATGGAAGTTGGAGTAGCTAATGGTCAAAGTGGATGCCAGAGGGACGACTGGGTGGGTCAGGGACCCTTCTGGCATGGGGCTGGCCCTTCAACCATTCGCTGTGGCACCTTCTACCATTCCTCTTGCATGCCCGTAAATATCTCCTATGATCCTGGCCATTGCCTAACCCTTTCGCTGGGCTTGTTAGGAACACATCATGACTTACAGAAACGCCACTGGTCTGAAAAGTGACGAATGTACCATCTCAGAAAAAAAAGCTTATCCTCCAGCAGGGTGGATAAAAGCCAATTATTTTTTTTAATGGATTTAAATCATGATTTAAGTCAAAACTCGTTTTTTTAAAAAATAAATCTAATTTTTAAAATGTAAATTGTGATTTAAATCGAATCTGTCTCCCTGTATCCAAGCTGCATTATGGCATGTTTTTTGGGGGGAGAGAGAATTCCACCTTGACTTTTATTAGGATGGAAAATGCCCTGATCCAGGTCTTCCAGATGAATGCATAAAATCGGACTTTGGCTTTCTCCCACCAAGCTTTTATATTTCCCCTAATCTCCTCCTGACGCAAGGCCTTGGATGTCACAAGGGCCCAAGAAAACGTCAAACAATGTATCCCAAGGCGTGTTTTTGCTCCACGGAAAGGGACATGAGAGTCGGAAACCACGTTAAGAGTAACGTCGGGCTCAGAGACAAGGCTGTTCCCGGTAGAGAGGACAATGGGAGTTGTAGTCTCACTGGCATAGAGAGAAACACCCCTGTCGATACTGTGTCTCAATCAAATACAGTATCAGCTCTGGCAGATTTATTCTATGAATAAGTTACATTTGTATCCTGCTTTATTCCACAGCGATCCTCATCTTTTATTCTCACGACAACCCCGCGAGGTGGATCGGTAGAGGAAGGTGCATGAGCCGTGAGCCAAAGCTGCCCAGTGAGATATATCTGTGGCAAGTGGAACATGGGATATGGAACATCTCCTGCTTACACCCTGCGGGCTGAAAACCAGCCGCCGGCTGCCATTCCGGAGTTAATTTTGTTTAATTCGTCTTTTAAAGCGGTAGGTTCCCAACCGTGGGTCAAAAATTCCCAGTAGCCTCCACCACCAACAAGATTAGCCAGGATTAATGGGAGCTGTAGTCCAAGAACATCTGGATGACCCGAGGTTGGGAACCTCTGGTCTATAGCGTGGATTCCTTTAAGTCTCTGGTCCCCCACCACGGATAACCCAGATGTTCTCGGACTACAACTCCCAGAAGCCTTTTCGGCTGTGCTGGTTGAGATTTCTGGGAGTTGTAGTCCAAGAACATCTGGATGACCCGAGGTTAGGAACCCCCTGTTTTGTAGGATTCTAAAGGGGTGGCTATCACCACCTCTTGTGGTGGGGAGTTCCACTGCCCTGCTACGCTGGGAGTTAGCGGCCATGGGGTGTAGTGCTCAGAATGACGGGCGAGGACTCTGGGGACCCGGGTTCAAGTCCCTGCTCAACCACGAGGCAAACCTCCTGACCTGGCCTACCTCGCAAGGGGAGAAAATGAGGGACTATCCTGAGGGATTTGAGAAAGGGCAAGATAGAATCATTTAAAAAAAAATTAAAAATGGGTTTACATGCAAACATCTCTTCCCGCCAGCTCCTCTCTGTCTCGGCCTTCCCGCCCGCCCCGTCCCCTCCACAAAACGACAGCTCAAGAGGGCCTTTGTGGGGGGGGGGAGGAAGGCCTCCGAATCCTTCCCGTGTTTGCATGGAAAGAAAAACACAGCTTTCGTCCTTGCAAGAGGAAACGGCAGGGAGAGGCAGAGAAAAATATATATATATATCGAGGCCGGCGCGTCACTTCCTTCTTGCCTCGGGTGGCCGAGGTCAGGCCAGCTCGGGGGCGGGCGGGCCTCGAAAACCTCTGGCGTGGAAGAGCTGCATTTCACAAACGGGGCATGCCGGGCCTTGCACGCCGGCCGGCCCGAACGATTCCCAGGCAGGCGGGGAAAAAACAAAAAGAGTTTGCTTAGTGCGGCCAACAAGGCTCCGACGCTCAGAAACAGGTTCGCTCTGCGCGTCAGAGGTCATCATCGGACGGGGAAACAGATCGCCTTTGGGGAACGGGCGGAGAGCCTGGTGATTATCTGGCCGTGGAGCCAGAGGTGGGGAGTTCGAATCCCCCACCGGGCTTCCTCCAGAGCGGCTAGACCGGATGATCTATAGGGTCCCTTCCACACGACACATGGGGAATTGGGCTCTAGCTTGGCCCTGCTTCGTCCTCAGCCGGGGACTTTTTGGGGGAGCGAATATTCCCCATCAGGCAGAAGCGTTGCTCTAAAGGAGACCGCCCCCTCCAAAGCGAGCCCTTTTGGTGCGATCGGACACAGGCCGTTCCTGCCACCGGATCGCCCCCCCGAAGCGTCAGAACCGCACGGCTCCTTCAAGACACCCGCCTATGGATGGGTCAGCTTGTGTCTGCCAAAATCTCCCCAGCAGATGGGGGGGGTGAATTCTGGGGAGGAAGTTCGGACTAGAGCAGGGAGCAAAGGAGACCCGTCCCCAAAAGCCTCATTCACCATGTTGGCTGCTCTAACATGAAGAGACATCAAGTAAAAGCATATAAAAGCCTTTATAGATTCCCTACTTTCAACCTGAGAAGAAAGATCCTTCTCTCTCTCTCTCTCTCTCTACCTTTATAGATTCTCCAGCCTGAGAAGAAAGATCCATTTTTCTCTCTTTTTCTTTGCATTTTGCGCAAAACGCTTCTGCCCCAAATTAATGTCTCTGGTGCTGGAAAACAACCCCCTACTCTCGCGCACGCGGGCAAGCGCTCAGAAGGCTGGTGCGATTTCAATGGAAACGAACCATCTAACACAGCTTTTATCCTTCAAAAGCCTGCGAAACGAAGCGGCCGCCGAGGCAGGTCTTGCGAGATTTTGCGCAAATCTGACGGTACCCAAGAGCTGTGTTCTAAAAACACGGTTCGCTCTCGCCCGAGGCGGACAGAAAAAAAACGCCACCCTCTTGCAGAAGGAAAAGGAACACATTGACAAAGAAGGATTTCGGACGGCCATCGGAGGGTCCCAGAAAAATCTCAGCCCTACGCAGAACGATGTCCCAGGACTACATCTGGAGTAACTCAACTCTCTTTTTGACACCTCCAAACCCACTTCCTGATTGCTGGTTTTCTGGTTTTGTGGTTCAGATTTCTCATGGCTGAGCCTTAATTTAGTTTACCTTCCTCTGATTGATTATTTTCCTCAACGCTTCTGAGGCCGCCATTCTCATTGTGGCTGGTTTCCCGTCCGGTTATCTTTCATCTGCCTTTGTTATATTGTTTTACCTCCAGCGACGCACCCGGTGTGGTGCAGTGGATAGAGCGACGGGCTGAAAACACAGGGGGCCTGGGTTCGAATCTCGACTCAGTCCTGGAAACTCCCCAAAGGGGGGTCTGGAAGTGGTAAAACCACTCCTTAAATATCTCACACATCTTGAAAGCTCCCTATAAGGTGGGTTTTGACTGGAGGGCACATAACCAAAACAGGGTGAGCTACCTCAATGGGGCATTTTTAGCAAAGGGAAGGAAACTATACCATGAGAAATGAATCCATAATTTAAGAGGTGTTGAATTTGTGGGGGGGAAAAAAGAAACAGGATGGATTCTACAAATCTTTCAGCGCCGGACCACTCTACTTACTGTTGTTGGATTTCAGGTCCCGGTGGATGACGGGGACGATGGCCCCACAGTGGAGGTACTGCATACCGTCGGCCACCTGCACGGCCCAGTTGATGAGGATGTGGGGCGGGATCCTGCGTCCGGCCAGCATCCGGCTCAGGGGCCCCCCGGCCGCGTATTCCATCACCAAGCACAGATTGGGCTCCTGGAGGCAGACGGCTTTGAGGGTGATGATGTTCGGGTGGCGCAGCATGGCGAAGAGCCGGGCCTCCTGGCGCACCCGCTCGGCGGTGGTGCCGATGTCCTCGTCCGGGTCCTGGCGGGCGGCCTTGACGGCCACCAGCTGCCCCCGCCAGCTGCCCCGGTAGACTTTGCCGAAGCCCCCGACCCCGATCACCTCCTCCAGCCGCAGGTCCCGGAAGTCGGCCTCAGGCGGGCCCTCGGGCCCCGGGAAGCCCCCCGCCTTGGGCGAGACGTAATTGGAGGGGAAGATGCCCACCTGGTCGTTGACCTTGCCGGCCCACCACCCTTCGTCCCCGGAGATGGCCGCGTCCCAGGACAGCACCTCCACCAGGTCCCCTTTGCGGAGGGTCAGTTCGTCGCTGCTGTTGGCCTCGTAGTCAAACAACGCCGTCCAGACCGGGTTGGCGTAGGCAGTGGCGGTGGGTGCCCCTCCTCGGGAGATGGGCCCCCAAGCCCCCGCCAGCGGGGCCTTCCGGAACATATTTTTCAGTGGCTCCATGGCATCTCGGGGACTTCATGGGTCCGGGGGTCTCTAGGTCACCGGCGACATGTTCCTCCTCGGGAGATGAGTTCGGGTCCAGCCGGATGGGGACCATCAGAGGGGGTCCCGAGGGCCGTGGGTCCGGGGAGGTCAGGGGGCTAGCCCTGAGTGTCTACGCCCCCTTCCATGGGGGGAGTCAGGAGCCCTTTTTTAGGAGAAGGATCGGGGCTGCTTCATCCTGGCCACCAGCTATTGAGTGTCCTCGACGGGGTGGGGGGTGTCCTCTTTTTGAGCCCTCTTTCCTCCTCTGGGGAAGGGGACGCTCCTGGATGCTCCTCCAGACCCCCCTAAATCCTCGTCCCCGCCGCCCCGTCGGGAGTTTCCCGTGTCCTTCCTTCCCCACAAACTTTTACCAACTTTTTGCGCTCTTTCTCCGCCCCAGCGCCCGCCGCGCTTCCTCGTTCAGCGCCAGCCCCGTCTCCGCCTCCTCGTCGCGCCGGATCGGTCCCTCCCCTTCGAGGTTTCCTGGCCAAGCAGGGCCGGTTTGGGGGGGCGCCTCGGAAGGGATCCCCCCCTCTTCTCCCGCAAAAAAAGCCTCCCCGG